GGGGAGGAGCCGGAGGACCGGAGATTCAGGAGCCGGCAGACCGGGAGAGTCGATCCCGCCCCGGACGAGGGAGACGGCCAGGGGGAGCATGAGCCTGGTGGGGCTTTGCCGCTGGAAGCCGTGTCAGCGGCGGGGGGGGGGGCCCCGGGCCAAAAAACGAACACCCTTGGGTGCCGCCATCCGCCCCCCCTCACCTTTCCCTGCAGGGGAGGTTTCTGTGTTCACTGTGCCAGGGCCTCGCTTGCTCAGTGTCCCTAGCTAGCAGCAGCACAGGGCTGTATCTCAGTTCGGCATGGCATGGGATGAAAGGGTGGGAGTCCATGGGACCTGCTCCAGGGTCCCTTCCTCTGGTCCAGCTTTTGTGGGATCAAACTGCAGCCACATTTCAGCCACTAGACAGAGGGAAAGTGTTTTATTGCACTGGCTTCCCTCCTTGGAGCTCTAATGATGGGCCACTTACAAAGATGTTTATTCCCTGTCTTTTCTCAGCTGATTCCTGGAGGGCATTGGGTGCCTAGGGAGGGAGCTGTGAGGGCAGGTCCCATATCCGCAGGTGGAGTGGCAGCAAGACACAGCCAAGGGCATGCTCAACAAGAGGCTACATGTGTCCTTTGGCCCTCAGACTTGCCCAGTGTCCTGGTCATGCTGGCCACTTTCACACTCTACCTCGCACTGCTGTCCCCAACCCTCACCCCAGCCAGGGGGCACCAGTCTCTGCCAAGAGAAAGAGATGATGTTTTGTTCCCTGGATTGCTCCTGCCCAGCGGCTGGTCGTACACACACAGGGCCCTTTCAGCATGGGGAGAGGAGGGTGATGGCATCTGGGAATGCAGGGAACAAAGGGCCTCATTGATGCTGGCTGCAACCCCATGGGTTTCTGTGAGCTGTAGCACGGCCAGTGTGCAGGCACAGATGTGCACTGAGCTGGGGCAGCAGCAATGCATGAGCTAAACCTCCTCTGGCCAGGCTGCATGGGAAGCCTTGCTGCCTGCCTGGATGGGGTGAAGCCAGGGGAGAGAGGAGAGGGTGGGTTTTGGGCTAGAGAGCTGTTTAGGAAGAGCAGCAAGGGTCCTGGCCGTGGGTAAGTAGCAGCCTGCTGGCTCTCAGCCCACCCTGCTGCTCATGGGAACCTAGTCATTGCTGAAATCTATCTCTCGGGCAGATCCGCTGCAAACGGGAGTGGTGCCAGGATTTGAACATGGGGCTAGGAGCATCCCTCCATGGTCTTGTTCCCCAGAGGTTCCTGAGCACAGTTCCTCGTGGAATTTCCAAGAGAAGCCACATTTTTGAATAGCTGCTGTGGAAATATGCATCTAAGGGTAGCATTCCTCTGCTCAGGGGCACAAAGACACCAGCCGATGACGTCTGCATGCACCAGCCCTGCGCAAACTGTTAACGACCCTGTGGCAAATGGCACACAGACACCCACAGAGCACACAGATGCCCACGGAGCACACAGATGCCCATGGAGCACACAAGACGCCCATGGAGCATGCAGATGCCCACAGAGCACGCAGACACCCATGGAGCATGCAGACACCCATGGAGCACACGGACACCCACGGAGCACACGGACACCCACGAAGCACACAGACACCCATGGAGCACGCAGACACCCACAGAGAACATGGACACCCATGGAGCACGCAGACACCCACGGAGCACGCGGACACCCACGGAGCACACAAGACGCCCATGGAGCACGCAGACACCCACGGAGCACGCGGACACCCACGGAGCACACAAGACGCCCATGGAGCACGCAGATGCCCACAGAGCATGCAGACGCCCACAGAGCACGCAGACGCCCACAGAGCACACAGAAACCCACAGAACACACGAACACCCACAGAGCACGCAGACACCCACGGAGCATGCAGACACCCATGGAGCACGCAAACACCCATAGAGCATGCAGACACCCCTGGAGCACGTGGACACCCACGGAGCACACGGACACCCACGAAGCACACGGACACCCACGGAGCACGCAGACACCCACAGAGAACATGGACACCCATGGAGCACGCAGACACCCACGGAGGACGTGGACACCCATATGGAGCACACAGACACCCATGGAGCACGCAGACAGGACATACAGGGCCCTGCAATAGTCGAGTCACCATCATGCCCAAACAAGACTTGTACTTCACACAGGGCTCTCGGCAAGTAAGAGAATCATGCATCCTGCATGGCTATGGATGTGCTCGTGCCATGTGCGTTACCTGATGCGAGCTGGTGAGCTTCGCTTGAGCTGTGCCAATTGGTTTTGGGGTGGTTGCGCTGTAGGTGCTACATTAGGAGATGTGGCAGAGGCTGTCACCACATAGCCTGAGTATTAAAGGGCAGCAGCACATCACCAAATATGAGCAAGTGGCTCCTACAAGACCCCAGCTTTCCTCTGGGTGGCTGGAGGAGAAACAGAAGTTTTACGGGCTCCCCAGCTAGGAACAAAGATTTTGAAGTCAGGGTTGTGAACCTCATGGCTGGGGTGGGAAGGAGGGCTGGGCAGAGTCCCACGGGGGCTGCTGGCCCACATGTGGGGCTGACGAGTGCTGCTCCTCTGCAGCCTCCCCTTCCCTACTTTTTTTTCAGCCGAGGCGAGAGGAGAGTGAGAAAGACAGTGCAACAAATGGATGGACAGACATATATCTTGTTCAGAATGTTCTTAATTTTAATTTATTTTCTTTAATTTTTATAAAATACATCTTGTAAGATAAGTCTCTAAAAACTTGCTCGTTTTTATTGCTTGTTAACAAGTTGAAATTCTAGATCAGAAATGAAGGAAACACTTTCAGTTGATTAACTCTCTTTTTGCGTGTGTGTGCACATGTGTGCATACGTGTGTGTATTTGGGGTCTGGGGACAAGGGTGGGAAGGAGGATCTAGTTATTTTTTTGTTAAATGGATACCAAAAAAACCCCAGCAAACCCCCAAGAGAGATAACCTTGATGTGAATTTCCAGATCTTGACTGGTTTCTCCCCACCCTGCCATCCCTTCTGGCATCTCCCCCCTCCCCAGCCTGTGTGCGTTGGTAGCCTGGCCAACCTATTTCAGCATTCCTGGCAGCAAGGATCCTTCGAATGCTCTGCTCAGCAGATCTGCTCCTTTATCCTTGCCTCTGCTGAAACTGGCACTTAAAAAAGAAAAAAAATACAGAGAAAAAAAAATCCATGCAAGATGGAGCTATAGTCTGCCACTGAAAGTAGTTTCTCCAATAAATAAACACTAAGATTAGCATTAAGGAGAGGCAGGGAAGAGCAAAATAAAATACCAGTTGGCAGGGAGGGCTGGAAACAACATTTTGGCAGGGGTGGCTGGACCCATGCTACCCAGCCAGAGGGCTTTCCTCCAGCTGCCATGGAGACTGATCATAGGGGAGAGGTCATCTCCACCAAACCCCTTGCCCCGCTGCCCCCCTCCATGGGAAAAGACTGAACTGACACCGGAAAGGACCTGGTTTGCAGGGACCAGCTGTGTTTCTGCCCAGTGACCCCCAAACCACCGCCTTTCCTTCCCTCCTCACGACGTTCATGGGTTTTGGCTGGAAGCAAGGTGCTGCCAGTTGTCCTGACTTGCAGGAAACGTGGGGAAAAAAGTGAGGGGAAGAGGGAGACAGAATGAGAGAAAGTTACGTTTGACATGGATGAGAAACAAATGAAGCTCTCCGACACAGCGGAGGTTAGAGAAGCAGACATCACCCCAGAGAAGAGCACCATTGTGAAGGACAAGAGCGTGCGGCAAGTGCGGCACTTGCAGGGCACGGCGGGCGAAGGCGCGCAGTCCAGAGGGTCATCCCTTGCCCACGGAGGGATGGCTCTGGCTTTACACTCCTGGGGCACAATGCAGAGATGTCTCCTCTCAGTCGAACCTATCTGCTGCCTCTCTGCTGCCTGAAGGGTAAAGCCAAGAGTCCGCCTTGTCTACAGACACCAAACTTCTTTGGGCTTTAATAGAGGCAGCTGGGTTAGGGCTTTATCAGCATCGGGGTCAGCACTCTCTTCTCTGCAGTGGGAAGATCCTTGCCCTGAACTCCCTTTGCCTTAGCTGCAGCAGTCAATTTGGGGTAAATTCATCTTTCTTTACTAAGGGAAAAAAAAATCCTTCTCTTATACTCCATCCATGGGTGGTGACAGCAGACAGCTCCAGGAGAGTCTCTAGCAATGGTACGAGGAGTGGGCCAACTTCCTTTTCTCTCTAGGTAGACTCTTGCTACTCATGGAGCAACCTACACGGATTTTTCTCCTCCCTGGAGCATGAAGGCCTTTGCTCATCCCTAGGCAACATTGGGACACTGGAGTAAGTCCCTCCTCTTCTCTGGCTGGTTTTGATGGACTTGGCCCTACAGTGAGCCAGTTATGGATGAGCAGAGAGAGAAAAGTGCATGAAGAGGTGTCCATTGGTGGGAAGCTCTCCTTCCTGGTCATGCTCAGCACAATGGATGTGAGGGAAGAAGAGGAGGAGAGTCAGCAGCGAAGGCAGTTAACGCAGGAGACCTGGTGTCGGGTGGCTGCAGTGTTAAAGCCTTGGGGTTAGAGAAAAGAAGGGCATTGGGTCTGGCTGGGCTCTACCACACGGGCTAGAACTTGGTGCCTCGGCCCATCAGCTTGAGGACGGCAAAGTTGTAGGTGGCGGCGATGATGAAGGTGAGCTGTGGGTAGGAAGAGAGTGAGCAAGGGAGAAGGAGAAACAAAGATCCTGTGGGCGAGGAGGGCAAGCGGAGTGGGACTCCTCGCTGGGGTGTGCCTGAGGTGGCATCCCTCAGCCCAGCACCCCAATAGGGCAGTTGTCCCATGGAGCTCCATGGCCTCACTGCACTGGTGGGACACCACAGTGTCTCACCACAGGTGTAAACCAAGAGGAGAGCCGGGGAAAGGCAAGGAACAGTGCACTGGCAGCAGGACCTCTCCCCAGTGGTCTCCTAAAGCCTCTTCAGATCCCCTCCAGCAGCCACCTCTACCTTCTTATGGCCTGAGTTTGCCATCTGCACTTACGTGCCAGAAAATGACGAGCACAGGCTCTGTCATGTCCATGCCCACCACCTCCGCTGTCCTCTGCCCCCACATCCTCACTGGGTGGAGGAGAATGGCCAGGCAGGGGGAGCATCGACTCACCAGTGAGACTAGTGTGGCAGCCGCCCCCACGAAGGCCGCGATGAAGAGGTGAAAAGTCATCTGGAACTGTGAGGGAAGAGGTGGGGTGAGCTCCTAGGGTCCTGTGTGCCAGATGGGGAGGCCAGTGCCAAGGCCACCCACTGAGGGGAGTGCATGTGGAGTGACAGGAGGTGCTCACCTCGCTGGTCTTGCAGATGGAGAGCAGGTTGGAGCCGCACACCTTTCCAGGGAAAGCATTCCAGGGCAGGACACCTGTGAGATGCAGAGAACCAGGTGAGCAGGGCATGGCCACCAGCTGGCTGCCTTGCTCAGCCTCCTACAGCCACATGTGTCACGTACAACCAGTGTTTTGGGGGTGTTCAGCACTTGCCCCTGCTTTATCCCAGCCTTATCTGCCTGGGCCCTCTCCTCCATCCCCTCTCCTCCGCCCTGAGCCCTGGCTTTTGGGTGATGATGCCAGCACTCACCGTACATCCTGGCATCCACACACAGGGTGCCAATGCTGGCTGAGGTCTTGCTGGGGTTGGCGATGGACTGGCAGGTGGTCCAAGTGTTAAAGTATATGTAGACAGGCACCGCGGAGCAGGCAAAGACCAGGAGCCAGATGATGGTCAGGACATAGGTAATGCCCACAAACTGCAAGGGGCAGGACAAGCCAGGCAGAGCCATGGTTACCGAGGGGCCAGGGACAGGGGAGCGCAAGGGTCTCCAGGCAGGAGATGGCATAGGACAGGCAGGAAACGGAGATGCTGCCTGCATTTGGTTCCACACCGCCCACCAAACCCAGCATATCCCCAAGTAGCCAGCACAGAGCAGCAGCCCAAGCTGGGTGTCCCAGTGGCTCACAGGGCCAGTGCCAGCCCCAAGTTCGTGGTCACCTACACGTGCGTGGGGTGACCAGCAGCGGCAGCAGAATGGCTGTCACGTCCTGTGAAAAAAAGGACCCCCACCCACGGCCGAGCAGGTTTTGGCCTCGGCGAGAGGGCAGCTGCAAAACCCGCCTCGGCATGCACGTGCAGCTCTCCTGCCCTCCCTCTGCGGTGCCACCCCGACCGACTCCCAAGGGAACCGCAGCCATCCCCCTCTGCTTCCCCAGGCCATGGTCTCCCCTTGCCAGCACTTTGTTGTGGTCCCCAAGCACAGCAGAGAGGACAACCCTGGGGGCACTGTGTGCTGGAGAGCCTCAGGCTGCCGGCACCACGGAGATACTCATGGCTCTCCCCACCAACGCTTAAACATGAAGCAGTTTCGTTAAACGTGTGGCCATTTGGGCTGCTTTGGTCCCCGGGAGCCACGGCAGGCCTGGGGGAGGGCAGCTGGGCTGCGCTTCCCTTCGGAATACCCCGAAACCCGGACGGCCGCAGTCTCCTGCCCTTTGGCCACGCCGAGCGTGGCGAACCCGCTGCAGGCGCGCGAAGGAGTGTCAAACCCCAGTTAAGATCACCTTGTCAGGATGTCCTAGCCACTTTCCCAAACACTGACACACCCGCTGCAATGAGTGAGCTCGCTGGGGGCCTCGCGCTCCCCTCCCTTTCGGGCCCCCGGTTACCGTTGCGCTGAGGCCCTTGCCACAGATGGTGGTCCGGTAGTCCCCGAAGATTTGCCGGACGGCGCCAGAGCCAGCAGCAGGGCTCCGTAGAGGAAGAAGAAGGAGGCCGTGCCATAGATGACGTACTGAAAAGCGTGGATGCTGCCAGGGAGAGGAGTGGGCAGGGATGTTCAGGTGCTGGGGCAGTGCCGCGGAGCTCAGCCCTGCGTGCGGCATGGCCAGGGCAGCCATGACTTGCCCACCCCACACCACCCCAGGGGAACCGAAACAGAGGGTGAAGCCACGAGAGGAACAAGCCAGGGCAAAGCCATGGCAAGCAACGCTGTGGGCCACTGCCAGCTCCCCCATGCCCTCCATACCTACCCTGTGCAGAGGTCCAGCACTAGCGAGGGCACCTAGCAAGGGTCAGATAAAAACAGGCATGAAACGGAAGCAAGTGGCCATTGGACCCTGCCATGTAGCCACGGCACTGGCACATGGCAAATGCAGCCTGGGGTCTCCGTGGTGCCCGGGTGATAGCATTGCCTTGGCCAGCCTGGCTGGACACCTCCTCCCAGCACAGAGCAAGATGGAGACACAAGGGGCCCTAGCGCGAGGGCAATGCACCGCAGCAGGGTACTTACACGTCAATGAGATACTCATAGTCCTGGTAGTTTTTGGAGAAGTAGGTCTCAATGAGCTGCTCAGTGCCTGTGAGGGCTTCGTGCCCACAGCCACAAAACAGCGCTACTCCAAAGAAGCACAAGCCAGTGGCAACCAGCGAAGCAAAAGGTGCCCCAATAAGACATCTGGCACAGCACTCGAGCAAACCTAGGGAGAAGAGAAGTGAAGTGGGACGGAACTGCCAGGATGGGGAGTGCTTGGAGCCTGCAGCTCAGCAGCAGGCAAGCACAGGGTGAGCAAGGTGCCTGATGGGAAGAGGGAAGCAGGTTGAAGGAAAACCCAGAAATGATTCATTGTGGTGCTGGAGAGCGGCTTCCCTGAGAGCTCTCTAAGCAGCCAGGCAATTTCACATCCAAGCGTGCCCACGGACAGGGGATGACAGCAGTGTGGGGGACCAGGGCCACAAGGCAGCCCCTGGGTATGAGACGGAGGGGCAGACAAGGCGAGCCAGCCGTGCCAGACCCTTGCAAAACAAGACGGAAACAAAAGGTGATGTAGCGTAATGCCAGTGGGACCTGGCCAACAAGCTGCTAATGGGCTCCCTGCTGCTGGCACAGCCCAGCTGCAGGCAACAGTGATGCCAGCTGCCTGCATTTTTCTTTAACCATCGAAGATGGAGGGGAACCCAGCACTTCCATTGAGACAAACCCCAGTGGAGACCCAGCAACATGGCCTGGCCTTGGAAGAGCATGGGAGGAGCTGGGATGCACTCCAAGCACCCTGAGCTTCCAGGTGGCATGCTGAGATGCACTTGTCTCCTCTCCTGGCACCCTGTGGGCAGCTCGGGCTGCAGCAGCCCCATCACACAGGCAGATGTGTTTATGGAGAGGAGCCACGTTAGTTCCCCAAACATCAGCGCTTGTGTAATTAATTAGTCCTCCAGGACAGCTATTTGTCAAGAGAGCATGTGTACCTGTGTGGGTAGGGAAA